TCAGAACCAGAAACATGAGTGACACGAAGCTTCCCAGTTTGAACCTTTTCGCGAACAAAGTGAAAGTCAAGGGCAATATGTTTCATCCGAGAATGAAACACTGGATTAGCACACAGATAGGTGGCCCCGACATTATCAGAATAGATGACAGGGGCGGTAGGCATGGTGTAGCCAATCTCATGAAGAAGAGCCTGAAGCCAGGTGATTTCAGCTGTTGCAGCAGCAATAGATCGGTACTCAGCCTCTGTAGAAGAGCGAGCAACAATGCTTTGCTTTTTAGAACTCCAGGAGATTGGATTAGAGCCAAGAAAAACAATATAAGCACCAGTGGAAGTTCTGTCTGTAACGTTGCAACCCCAATCAGCATCAGAGAATGCGTGAAGAGAGAACGGCGAATCCCGTTGAAGGAGGAGACCATGATCAAGAGTCCCATGTAAATACCGTAATAAACGTTTAAGGGCAGACCAGTGGACCGAAGTAGGAGAGTGCATGAATTGGGAAAGTTTGTTGACAACAAAGGCCACATCCGGGCGTGTCAGCGCCAAGTATTGTAAGGCACCAAGCACCGAACGATAATCAGATGGATTTGCCATTGGCTCTCCTTCATGCAAAGCAGGGACGTGGGAGGTTGGCATGGGACTAACAGCTGGCTTGGATGAAGACATACCTGTTCTATCAAGTAGATCAAGAATATACTTGCGCTGAGAGAGAAAGAGACCATGTGTACCAGAGATGACCTCCATGCCCAGAAAGTAAGAAAGATCACCCATGTCCTTAATAGAAAACCGGTCAGCAAGTTTTCGGACACAAGCTGTCAAAGTAGAGGAGGAGTTACCGGTCAATATAATGTCGTCGACGTAGACCAAGAGAAAAATTACCGTAGACTGCTGGCGGAGAAAAAATAGGGATGCATCAGCTCTGGAATTTTGAAATCCAATACTGACAAGGAACTGCTTGAGTTCAGAGTACCAGGCATGGGGAGCCTGTTTTAGGCCATAAAGGGACCGTTGCAGGTGACAAACATAATCTGAAAATTGTTGATTAACAAACCCCGGTGGTTGTTGCATATAGACATTCTCAGACAACGACCCATGTAAAAAGGCATTATTAACATCTAGCTGTTTGAGATGCCAACTTCGCATAACAGAGAGTGAAAGAATCAGACGAATAGTAGCAGGTTTGACAACCGGACTGAAAGTATCACAATAGTCGAGCCCGGGGCGTTGAAGAAAACCTTTGGCGACAAGACGCGCCTTATATTTATCAAGAGACCCATCTGCTTTCCGTTTAATGCGAAAGACCCATTTGCAACCAATAACATTTTGGGAGGAGTCATGAGGCACAAGAGTCCACGTGCCATTTTGGATAAGAGCATTATACTCATCACATATAGCAAAACGCCAGTTCTGATCTTTCATGGCCTGTGTGGCAGTAGTCGGTTCTCGAGGGAGGTGGCAGGGTGTAGTGGAGGCATGGTGAGCAGTTTTACTTCGAGTAAGCATTGGATGGATGGACTGGGAACGTGGAGGAGGTGGTGGTGTGGCCGGCGGAGAGGAAGAGAAAGGTGGCAGACTGGAAATGTCGGTGGCTGGAGAGAGAGATAGATGGCGGAGGTGGTTGGATTGTTCAGGGGTTGAACGGAGGATTTGTGCAAGGCTTCGAGTGGGCCGCATATGTACAGGGGTGTTGGGCGATGGAGTTAGATCAGGAGATGAGGGAGATGGTGTTGGGGATGAAGGGCTGGGGATGTGGGTGTTAGAGTGTGAGACGACGGGAGCAGTGGGAGAGGAGTTTGGCCTGGATTCAGACAGGAAATTAGGCACAGTAGATGTGGTAGGAGTGGCAGGGTGGCTTGAGAGATTGGGGCCGGAAGCTGGGGAAGGATAAGAAGGAGAAGCAGAGACGGAGTCCAAACCAGCGGGAGCAATTACCGAAGGCTGAGTACACACATCAGGACGGAAATTATCAGAACCAGTGACCACAGGTGAAGAGGAAAAAAATGGGGAACCGGCTGCGGTGATTGAAGAGGAGGAAGGTAAGGCACTGAAGGGAAAAACATGTTCGACAAACTTTACGTGACGACTCGTATAAACCCGACCAGTAGGAATATCGAGGCAGTAGTAGGCACTCTGGGATAGACTATAACCAAGAAAAACACAGGGCTTGGAGCGTGATTCAAGTTTGTGTGAGGTATACGGGCGTAGCCAAGGGTAGCAAAGGCACCCAAACACCCGTAGTTTGGCAAAATTTGGGGGAGAGTGATAGAGTTTTTCATAAGAGGTAAGGTAGTGAAGATTGAGTTTAGGGAGGCGGTTAATGAGATATGTGGCTGTGGTGAACGCATAAGGCCAAAAGTGGAGGGGAATGGAGGCATGGTGAAGGAGTACCAAACCAGTTTCGACAATATGGCGATGTCGCCGTTCGGCATATCCATTGTGCTCCGGTGTATGAGGAGGAGTGGTGAGGTGAGTGATACCATTTTGCGAAAGGTAAGAGGTGAGTGCCATATATTCACCACCATTATCCGAGAATAATGTGGTAATGGTGGCATTAAAAAAAATTTCAACAAGACCACGGAAACGAATAAATGTGTCACGAACATCCGATTTTTTCTTTAAGGGATAGAGCCAGACATATTTAGTGAAATGATCAATAAACACAACATAGTATTTATAGCCTTCGGTGGAGACGACAGGAGATGTCCATAGATCAGAAAAAATAATATGTAATGCAGTAGTACTGGACACAGTAGAGTTGGAAAATGGCAATTTATGACTTTTATTGCAGTTGCATGAATTACAATTAGATAACGAATGTTTGAACGATGACAAAGATAAAAATTTGGGGGACACTAAATGATGTACGATTTTGGGGTTGGGATGTCCTAAGCGGAGATGCCAAGTATCAAGGTTGGTGGAGATAGTAGAGTAAGCAATCACTGGTGCAGACAAATTGAATGGAAGTGCGTACACACCATCTTTAACTGGTCCGCGCAAGATTGGAATTCCGGTCTGCAAATTTTTCACAATAAAGGAATGTGGTAAGAATTCAATGCTGGCATTGTTTTGGGAGCAGAATTGTGAGACAGAAATTAAATTGCGAGCAATGTGGGGAACACAGAGAATGTTAGAGAGAATGAACTTAGAGTTATGAGAGTGAATGTGAGTGTGACCCGTGTGCGTGATGTGTAAATTGTTACCGTCACCAATTTGAACATCGTCGGGTCCAGAATAAGGGGAGTGGAGAGCGAGATTGCCAAGATCATTGGTTATGTGATGAGAGGCGCCAGAGTCGAGAAGCCAGTCTTGAGAAGGCGATGCAGTAAACTGGGCAGCCAAATTTGCTTGGTATTGTCGAGGCTGTTGGGTAGGACTTGGGGTTGCAAGGGCTGGTGAATAACGATAGACAGAACACCGTTTAGCAGAATGACCAGATTCTCCACAGAGTTGGCATTTACCAAGATAAGGTCGAGGCGTAAAGTTTGTGTTGCTGGTGTTACGAGGTCGGAAATTGTGTGAGGAGGAACGGTTCTGGGGGAAGTAGTTGGTCCGAGATCCATTAGAAGGGGGGTGATTTGGCCGTGTGGCAATGGGATTTCGAGAGGCAAGATTTGCCGTGACTGGTTGGAAGGGAGAGGAGGAGACAGAAGATTGGGGCTGGAGCTGATATTCCCTGGTAATGAGTTTTTCGTGCAACTCATCAAACGTGATGGATGTATCACGAGCACGAACAGCTTCTGCCAAGCCATTGTATTCGGAGCCAAGACCACGAAGGATATGAAGGACCAATTCATCAGGATCAGGGGAAGAGTTCATGAGGGTCAGATTGTCAACAATACTTTTAACCCCATGCATATATTCTGTCATAGATTTATCACCCTTTATGAGATTTCCGAGAGCATGTTTGAGATGCATAATACGCCCACGTGAGGGTCTAGCGTAAGTGTTGTTGATTGTAACCCATGCTTCACGTGATGTTCTGGCTGCTGCAATAAAGGAAACCAAATTGGGAGAGAGAGAGCTAACGATGGCATTGAGAAGGAGCTTGTCCTGTCGGATCCAAAGTGCATGTTCTGGGTTGAGAGTTGTAGTTGTGTTTTGTGTGTTCAAGAATTGTGCTGGACAGAGAAATGTGCCGTCGACAAAGCCCAGAAGATCAAAGCCAACAAGTATACTGTGGAATTGGATATGCCATGCTGGAAAGTTTGTTGGAGTAAGTTTGATGGGCAGTTGAGCTTGAGCATTGATAACAAGGGGAGGATTTGGGACGGTGGGAGAGGGTGGAGGCGGTGAGTTGGTGTTGCTGGGCGTTTGGTTGGTAGAGTCTGTGTTAGATGATTCCATTGAGGCCACGATCGAAGCTGGTTAAGCGTATAGCTCTGATACCATATAGGAACTCAAGAATAGTTGGCTTTAAATGTCACAAAATGGCATCACAATCCAACATATAGTTTCAGAACCACACTGTCAAAAAGGTAGGGGACCATTGCAACTGATTCAATAGGTAGGGGACCATTGGTGCAGGTTTTATTTATAAACTGCATGCTACCTGTACAAAATTTATAATTGAGCAACAATGTAAAACGAATGCAAGATATCTATCTACTCTATTATCACGTGTACGGGATTCGGATTTTTCGTCCCTCAATTATCATACAAACAAGTTTTTCTAGATGATCGGTGATGTTCTCATAGTAATATTTAAGAGTATAAATAAAATTGCATCACGTAATAACATCTATCGTTTTGTCATTATTTATCAACAAATTATATAAAGATAGAGTACATATGATACATAATTATTATAGGTTAGTGTTCCCTTTCGACAAAGAGTTGTAGTTAATGTGTGATGTCCTTTGTTCAGTTTTGCAGTGAAGCTACCCCCCCTTGCAATGACTGCTGGAATGATGAGAACCACTCTTTCTCTTCATATTTACAATTATCAAACCATCTTATTTCTGGTTCCCTCCCAACAACAACTTTGTGCATATCGAATCGACCATGGCAAAGATTGTGATCTTTACATTATTTTCAATGCTCTACATTCCTATCTGTCTTGTTATATCTCTCAATAACTCCATCGATGAGACTGCTCTTCTAGCCTTCAAATCTCAAATATCTTATGATCCGGACGATATCTTGGCCATGAACTGGACTCGAGGAACCTCTTTTTGTAACTGGATTGGTATTACTTGTGGTGGCATGAATCAAAGAGTGACGGGTATAAATCTTGCAGATATGGGTATAGGAGGTACCATTGCTAAAGATATTGGTAAACTCTCTTTTCTAGAATCCATTGTTATTAGTAACAACAATTTTCATGGTTTTATTCCTGAAGAGATGGGTAACTTGAGTCAACTTCTAGAAATAGATATGCAATTCAATGAGCTAGGTGGTTTAATTCCAACGAATTTCGGATTTCTTGGAAAACTTCAAAAGTTAAATCTGCGGGGAAACGGTCTCACAGGTTATATTCCAGAAAGGATTTTCAATCTCTCTTCCTTGTTAGAAATTAATTTCAGAAACAATAGTCTCTCCGGGAGTCTTCCGATTGATATTTGTAAAAATCTTCCAAAGCTAGAGACTCTACGAATTTCAGCAAATCAAATAGGTGGAAGTATTCCTCCAAGCTTGGGATCATGCGGGAAGCTCAAGATACTTTCTCTATCATTCAATGATTTCGGTGGAAGCATTCCAATGGAGATTGGGAACTTGTCAACCCTTCAGATTCTCTATCTAAACAAAAATAATTTGATTGGTATGTTGCAAACTATTGTTCATATACACTCCCTTCCCCCTCCCTCGGTGGAACACTAAACTAAGAAAATAAGCCAAACAAAGATTATAACTCGAACAAGTCAAAAGCAGCTTAGGGGTGGAAAACACATCCAATTCCAGAATCCAAATCTTTCTCACTTAAATTAAGGTTAATAAATTTGAAATGCTATAATTCTAACATGTTATTTTGTAGGAGATATGCCTTCAACTATCTTCAACATATCTTCTTTACTAAATATTTCGGTGGAAAACAATAAAATTTCTGGGTACTTTCCTGATGATCCATGCAACCGAGCTGCAATGCTTGAGAGCATAGAACTTCATAACAACCACTTCCATGGAAGGATACCTTCTAGTCTATCGCGTTGTCGTGCTCTTAAACTACTTACTATCTCCAAGAATAGATTCACAGGAAGTATTCCAAATGGCATTGGAAACTTATCAGCACTTCACCGGCTCGTTTTGAGTTACAATTATTTGAATGGTAATTGTCTACCTTTCAGTTGGCAGTTTTGTTTTTTCCATAAAATCTATATTTATTTCATTGTCTTGACAAACATTACAGGTTCTATTCCACATACAATTGGCAACATATCAACTTTGGAGAGTTTCACAATTCATGACAACAGTATCAGCGGAAAGATCCCACAAGAATTGGGACAACTGTCGAATTTAAAAGGGTTATATCTTTCTCTTAATAAGCTTGAGGGTGAAATACCAGAATCCATCTTCAACCTCTCCAAATTACAAGAACTTGCAGTTGTACTCAATGATATCTCTGGTAATCTTCCATCATCAATTGCCGATGGACTCCCTAATCTTGAACGTCTCTATCTTGGTGGTAATCGTTTAAGTGGAGTAATTCCTAGTTCTGTTTGTAATTTTTCTAAACTTAGCATACTGGAGCTCAGTAATAACTCATTTAGTGGACAAGTACCCATGAATTTTGGGAATTTAAGGAACCTCCAGCTACTAGGTTTATCATCTAATCGGTTAATAAATGATCCATCAACGCCAGAATTGGGTTTTCTAATTTCATTAAAAAATTGTAGGCACTTGAAGAACATAAAGATCAATAACAATTTTTTTGATGGAATGCTTCCAAAATCCTTGGGGATAGGTAATTTGTCGGCATCTCTTGAAAGACTCTATGCAAGTTCTTGTGGCATCAAGGGCAGGATTCCAAATGAAATTGGTAATCTGAGCAACTTGATTATGTTGGAAGTAGGAGTCAATGACTTGACAGGAACAATTCCTGACACACTGGGCCAATTAAAGAAGATACAAGTGCTTGGAATTAGTGGAAATAAACTTCAGGGGCCGATACCCGTCAAATTTTGCAATTTGGAAAATTTGTACGTCTTAAATTTGGCGGAAAACAAGCTCTCTGAACATTTACCAGGGTGTTTAGGAAATGTTACTTCACTACGACAAATTTATCTAGCTTACAATGTGTTGACTTCCACTATACCGTTGAACTTATGGAACAATGACAAAATTCAAATTTTGTCTGTGTCTCATAATTTGCTTGTCGGTTCTCTACCTCTAGAAATTGGCAGCATGAAGAGCTTGAGAGTGTTATTACTATCTTATAATCAATTCAGGTGAAATTCCAAGCACTATTGGTAAACTTCAGAGTTTGACAAACCTAACATTATCAAACAATAGGTTATATGGTCCTATACCTGAGTCGTTTGGTAACTTAACGGAATTGCAATGGTTGGATCTATCTCAAAATAATCTTTCTGGAGTGATCCCCAAGTCATTGGAGTCACTCGTGTATCTTGTGTATTTTAATGTATCATTCAATACACTCAGTGGTGTAATTCCGAATGGAGGACCTTTTAAGAACTTGACAGGAGATTCTTTCATAGGCAACGGAGAATTATGTGGAGCATCTCAATTCAAGGTCATGCTGTGCAAAGGTAATACGTCAAAATCTTCAAGCAAGACCAGATACCTGAAATATATTTTACCATCATGTGCCTTCGTAGCAAGTATAGCAATTATTACAGTTTGGTTTATGAGACATAATACAAATAAGCCTCATCCATTTCAGTCAAGTTTCTCCATTGCCTTCACTATGAAGAGGATTTCATATTATGAAGTTCTTAAATCTACCAATTACTTTGATGGAGAGAATATGATAGGAAAAGGTAGTATGGGTTCAGTATTCAAGGGTATATTCCCCAATGGGGTAGTTGCTGCTATTAAGGTTTTCAATTTAGATTTGGAAGGTGCATTTGCAAGCTTTGATGCCGAGTGCCAGATTATGTGCAACGTTCGTCACAGAAATCTCGTTAAGGTAATTAGCAGTTGCTCTAACCAAGATTTCAAAGCTTTGGTGCTTGAATATATGCCGAATGGAAACCTGTACGACTGGTTGTACTCTTCCCAAAACTGTCTAGATATAGTTCAATGTTTGGAAATAATGATAGATGTGGCGTCTGCATTGGCGTATCTACATCATGGGTATCCTGTCCCAATTGTCCACTGTGATTTGAAGCCTAGCAACATACTTTTGGATGAAAATATAGTGGCCCATGTTGGAGATTTTGGCATTGCCAAGCTCTTCACGGAAGACCAGAGAATTTCACACACCAAGACTTTGGGCACCATGGGGTACATGGCACCAGGTAAGTATATTGTCTAAATTTAATACATATAGTTCTATATTTTGTGGTGAGGACTCATAAGAATAAATTATGTATATAAGATTTTGTGATGGAGTACTTAATAATTTATGTTTTGGTTTTTCTATTATTGTTTCATAAAAGCGAGAAATTAAGAAATTATAGTCGGTCTCCAAAAAGATTAAGCCCCTTTTGAGCACCATTTTTTTTTTTGCCAAAATGCATTTTAAAATAATATTTTATTAGAGAATGTATGGTTAAAAAGTAAGAAAACTCTTTCGATTTACGTGTTTTATAGGAAAATATATGGTTGAAAATGAATTTTTGAAACAATGGGGATCAAACATTGGCTAAGAAAAGTCATGTAGTGTTTTTCCTACCCGTGTTCCCTTAACCAGTTTCTTAGTTCTCCTTCATTTATTTTCTATCTTCATTTTTTCTTGTTAATTCTTGATCGCATATCCAAATTTTGTAGAGTATGGATCAACAGGATTAATATCGACTATGGCGGATGTTTACAGCTATGGAATTTTGTTGATGGAAACATTTACAAAAAAGAAGCCCACGGATGATTTGTTTGATGGAGAGTTAACCATGAGAAGATGGATGTTTGAATCATTCCCCGATAAAATAATGCAAATTGTAGACATGGATGTACTCAACCGAGATGGAGAAAATATTAAAACTAAAGAGGGCTACTTAAAATCAATTACGCAGCTAGCACTTGAATGCACGGTTGATTTTCCGGAGGAAAGGCTCAATATGGAACATGTTGTGATAAGGCTCAAGAAGATCAAAAGTGAAGTTTTTTCGAGCATTAGTATGACAGAAAAAGACTAAAGGTCTGTTTGTTCAAGCGTAAACATTTTGTTTCCTCCGCAATATCCCACAGTTTTCTGTTACAAGACTAGCTAGATTGATATTGTTGATGTCACTTGTTTACAATGTCATCAACTAGTTCCTTTGTTCTGCTAGAGTGAACAAATATTTTTATTTGTAATGAATTAGATTGAAGATTTTAGTTGCATATAGTTTTGTGATGGAATTATGTGTAGTGAATCTTCATTGATCCTTGTTTCCTTATTACCTGAAATATATTTTATCTGATTTGTCTCCATCTTTCAATTTCTGGAGACAGATTGGATTTCATGTCGATAGAGTTGTTAAACGTCGAGCATTGCCTGCGTAAATAGTATTATTGGTGAAGGTTACAAATGCCGAGAATTGTTCTTCTGCTAAAGAATAAGGCACACCTTAACTTTACCTTCAAGTGCTTTGCCTTTTATGTTTGACACTGCTGTAGTTAGATATTCCTTTTTTCTATTTTATCTCATGCTTTATACATGAAAATTATTTTTATATTTAACTAGACATAGAATCAAGTTTTTACACCCATACCATGAGGGAATTAACCTCACCGGAAAATTCCTCAAGACTTTTTAATCGGGTAGCTAGCTTCCATTGCAATGCCGCATATCCCATCTTTATCAGTAGAATCACGCTTCATTTTTATATAACCTGCTTCACCCCAGTGAGCGCCCCATGAATTTTTCACGAGCCAGTACTTCTCACCATTTGATTCTCCATAGCCAACAGATGCAACGCCATGATTGAGATCTTTGCCACAATAACCAGAGAAGATCCCGCTAGAGTACAGTTGAAAGTCATAGCCTCCAGCATCAATGGCAACAGATACTGGTTGTTTTGCCACTGCAGCAAGTAGAGCTTTCTCACTACCGGCAGGTATCGCTTTATAGCTACTTATTTTCACTGCACCTTTTTTTCTTTCGGTGGTGTTACATCTGTCATCTTTTCCTACGTAAGGATAATCTTTTTCTGTTGTTATTCCACCAATTTTCTTGATGAAAGCAAATGCTTTTTCCATGTATCCACCTTGACAGCCTTTGTTATCTGTGTTGTAATCACAGTCTACGAGTTCTTGTTCGGATAAAGAGACTAATTTTCCAGTCTTGATCTTGTTGATGCCTTCTACAGCTGCTATTGCAGAAAATGCCCAGCAACTGCCTGCAATGCGCATTTCAATTTTCTTCACTACCATGATTGTCTAGCTCATATATATGAATGCTAAAAATTTGAGTCATAAAGAATTGAGATCACAGCTTGTCTGTTTCAATGGTTTTTTACTGTGTAACAAGTGAGAAAACAGAAAAGTTTGTACCACAGGTGCCTTGATTTTTGACAGCAGTTACTGCACCCCTCTTTCTCCAATCTATGCTTGGTGGTATTAGAGAACCATCAAATGTAAAATTTTGTTGTCCCTTGCGTGAAAACCTCGGGCTCTTATAACCCAAGTAGGCATTTCTGAATTCCAGGTTTGTAATGTCTGCGAATTTATTGTCCCTCAGTTTATAGGTAAGATTCTGAGAATTTATGTATTCAATAAATAGAAGATTGGATTGGTAAATCCCAAAGCGAAAATTCCATTCATCTCTGCTACCATATTTTCGTCCATGTCGTTTCATCCATTGTCGGTACCTTTGCTCCATTGGGATTGTGACATTATTTTGTTTCGAGGTTTCAGAACATGCATCTGAAGACTGGCAGAGAACACACAGCAGCACAATCTCGAGGTAAAATATTTTCAATATAATTGGAGTTTTCATCCTTAAGCTAGAATGTACAAGTCCAATGAGTCTATTGATATTTGCATCTTATTGAATAAAACAAACTGATTGGTCATTCAGTTGGGCTCATGTTTTTGTTCTTGTCTTCCACGTTTCCTTTTGCTGGGACAAATCTGTTATGGATCCTATCGGTTAAGCTTGTGTATACACAAATCTTGTGTATATAAATTTGCTAAATTGGAGTGCAAACAATATGAACAAAACTTCTATTAATTTAAGGTTAGTTACAAGAATAAGTTTTCTCCACTTGAAAAGAGCATCACACATTATAGACAGCAGATGTCTCATTTTGTTACTCGACCTGATCTACGAATCTATTTTAACTCTCAAAGAATTTGTAGAAACGCATTGAGTCCTTGAACAGGCAATATTGTTTCAATTCATTTTTCAAAACCTTATTGTGAAATGCAACCAACCTTATAATTCGAAAATATAATATCAATTTGTTCATCCTTAATTTTTCAGTAGAAAACATAACTATCATGTTTGATATATTGATTTGCAATGCATTAAACAAAATTGAAAAGGATAAAAAGTTAGAATCTTGTACAACTTAAAAGGCGAGGATGCAAAAATATCTAAATTACGAAAGAGCAAACGACTTGTGTTGTGTTACTAGCATGTTTGATATATGAATTACAACACAATAAGAGCATCATATTCGACGTGACTTTTAAAATAGCAAAAAATGATTTTTTGAGCTCCAAATGCTATTTTTAACTCATTTGACTAATTTTATAACCTAATTAGATGAACTTTTTAGAACAAGTTAATCAAACATGACTTGCTCTAAAAGCAATTTCGGAAGGAGGGGCTCATTTAAAAATTAATTTCCAAACAAAATTTGAAATAACTTCTCCCAAAAGCTCTTTTATAAAAAGCAAAAATCATATGAAACGAGTCATAAACAAAATTGAAAAGAATGAAAACTTCAAATCTTGCCCAATTTAAAAAGTGATGATGCAAATACGTCCAAGTTACCAAAGCAGTCATCAAGAATATCAAATAACTTGATATACGATAATAACATGTTTAATATGCTAAATTATATTGCATTAAACAAGATTCAAAAGGATACAAAGTTCAAGTCTTGTGCTTTTTTTATTTTCTAACTTTTGGGTAACGAGGATGCAAATATGACTCTTCGAGTTGCTTTTTTGAATTGCAACGATCATATTTCTCATTATAATGAGAAAAAAATAGAAATAAAAAACAAACGCTAAATTGCAAAAGCCAACCTCAAGAAATATCAAATGACTCACATTGCGTTACAAGCATGTTTGATTTACAATAAACATAGATAAAAAAAAAATTGGATCTCGGCATTTTAAAAACCGTGTATGCAAATATGTCTGTCTAAATTACAAGTCATAATAAATAAATATCAAATTACTTGCATTACGAACTAACACGTTTGATATGCGAAATAAGGACAAAAAGTTCAAAAATCTAGTGCGCTTTAAAAAGTGAAGAAGTGAATGTCTACATTACAGAAGTTAACATCAAGAAATACCAGATGTCTAAACTACAAAAGCCAACATCAAGAAATATCAGGAAGCATTTGGACTCTTTACAATACAAAAATCGAAGAACAAAATAATGATGAACCACCTGAAAAAGCTAATTAGAAATCACTATTTGAGATAGCCTCTACTGCTTTTTGTAAAAGAGTTTTATGAGAAAGTCAAGTTACACCAACTTCTTCTAAGGCACATCTAACCAGACAAAGTGCTTCCAAAATGTTATCCAAATAGACTCAAAAGAGACTTCTTAAACTCAAAAGTAGACTTTGGCTTTTCTGCCAAACAAGCCCTAAATCAAAATTTTTCAAAAGATGTGCAGGCAAAAAATTAACCGAAACTGCTATTGTGCCCACCATACTGTTTGGATTAATGCATGTTGTTCGAGCATTATCATAACATCAGGAGCTCTGTTACTTCAGCATTTACACACTGAGAAGGTACTGGAAAGATGTAAAATTTAAATTCAAGACTTTGCCATGCATTTGTACAGTAAACCAATAGTTCCAGGGCAGTCACCAACACTGTAAACAGTCCAAAATCAAGTTCTGCATGTATGGACTAACAAGGTACTTAGAAGCTCATTTTCTTGTAAAATTCCCTGTACTCGGGGAATTTTCCAGAAATATTAGGCAGCATTTGGACTCTTTACAATACAAAAATCGAAGAACAAAATAATAATGAATCACCTGAAAAAGCATATTAGAAATCACTATTTGAGATAACTTTTACTTCTGCTTTTTGTAGAAAAATTTTATGAGAAAGACACGTTACACCAGCTTCTTCTAAGACACATCTAACCAGACAAAGTGCTTCCAAAATGTTATCCAAATAGACTCAAAAGAAACTTCTTAAACTCAAAAGTAGACTTTGGCTATTCTGGCAAACAAGCCCTAAATCAAAATTCTTCAAAAGATGTGCAGGCAAAAAATTAACCGAAACTGCTATTGTGCCCACCATACTGTTTGGATTAATGCATGTTGTCCGAGCATTATCATAACATCAGGAGCTCTGTTACTTCAGCATTTATACACTGAGAAGGTACTGGAAAGATGTAAAATTTAAATTCAAGACTTTGCCATGCATTTGTACAGTAAACCAATAGTTCCAGGGCAGTCACCAACACTGTAAACAGTCCAAAATCAAGTTCTGCATGTATAGACTAACAAGGTACTTAGAAGCTCATAAAATTCAAATTCAAGAATTTTGAATGTAAATTGTCAGCCATCACATCAGTCACTGACAGCAAAAATATACTCCATAAACAGTTCCTAGTCAAGCCCTCCTTTCAAAAGATCTAAATTTTAATGACTACATTCTGTGGCCACTGTCTTGAGCTTTTCTAAATAAGTTACACAAGAACTCATATAGATAACTTGAGAAGTCGTGCACCTTTGCAAGAAGTACCCAAGTTCCTACCACCATCGTTCAACCCAAGTTGAAAAATATGGAGCTATTAACGACCTGTATACGAAATTTTAAGTGTCAATTTGAGAGATCGACATTTAGTTATACTTAAATGCATTTAACCCAAGCAAATAGCAGAACAGAGCACCATGTGAGCTAACATATTATTGACCATGAAGAGGTAGAGGTGACAATTAGACGCATCATTAACCTTACAAGCATACTTAACTCTGACCTCAAAGTTGTAATGGATATTCAAAATGTAACCAGAAATACGGTTGGTTATTAAATATCCTGTTATGAACAAAACAATGGCATGGAAAAACAAAGAGCAATTTCTTCAACTAGTCTTCCAATGTTCAACTATCAACCCAGTTTCCCAGTTCTTATTTGACATGGAGGGTTCAGAAAAACAGGTCAAGCAGAAAGTGAAGTGTAGACAAAAATACAGTGGATTTCAGTTATTTCTTCTTATAATCTGTTCAAAATGGAAAAGAAAACAAAATAGTAAGGACAGTTGTCATACTAGTAAAGATCTATAGTAACATTAAATGTATTGAGACGGTCTAAAAGTAATGAATAGAAAAGGAAATAGAAAAGGAAATAAAAAATCATCCAATCAATTGGTGAAACCTTGGCATATCATTCATTACATCTTTCATAAAAATTAAAAAGAACAAAGATATTGCAGTACTTGATATTAGTGATTAAATTCGAATGTCGGTAACAAATGATTCAGCAAGTTCAAAAGCATGAAAAATCCCTTTGCATGCAAGTTAGATACAAAATTAGTTTCTCTCTATGTTTTAACAGTTTGCATTCACAATGAATATTGAAAGAGATAATTTCAAAATTCAGTCCAAGTAATAACAACTACCATTCATATCCTTCCGTAGTAAAGAACATAACGTGATATGCATTTCATGATTTCAAGTTAACAAGATACAGAAGCAGAGCAAAGTGCGGAAGTAATGTCAAATACTATTCATAGATTCACACAGGGATACATCTACTTAGTAAAGAATAGGATGTGATACGGATACGGAGTAATAAAAGATACACCCCTAGAGCAATGTGAGCATACACAGAGGTCAAATATTTAGATCCATAAAGAAACAAAATAAAAGAAGCAACATTAATCGCCATATTTTTTCTCTCTTGTAGTTCAGTTTTTCAGAAGTAATTCACTAATGAGTTTAACTGATATGACCAATAGGGGAACACATATTAGTTATCATCGCTAGATGGGGGGGATAATTGAAATGGTAGAAAATCAAGAAATTTCGCAACATCTTTCATACACCACTAAATGAAAATTTACAAGAGTCAGGGGGTCAGTCATTGGTTTTACCTGTATACCGGCTGAGCAAATGCTTCCAGAGTAACACGTCATTCATTTGGTAGAGATTCCGAAACTTCAGAAATTTTTTCTTCAGTTTTCAGAATTTTCCCTTTTCTATTACAATCGATAAGCTCTTTAGCATCTGTCTCGAGACCTGTCAATTTCTTGTCTAACATATTAATCTTCTCAAGAAATGCTTCAAATTGACCAGTATAGTCCTCTTCTGCTTCCTTTGCCTTCTGTTCTAAAATTAAGCAATTCATCCGATATTCTTCTTCTTGTTTCTCACGTAGCTTCTCTATTTCACCCGTGCTCAACATAAGACCACCAGGTCCAGCATCCTTGTATAATGGTTCTTCAGGAAGCTGAGCCCTTTGCCTGTATTCTGCAAATGCCCTTTGGGTTTCCTTTAAGGCCTTCCTATAACCATCCAATATACCCCCCATTAAATACAGCTCACGTTCATAACGATAAAGTTCCCTGTCTCTTTTCTGTATCTCTTCCAATTTAGTCTTATGCAAGAGTTCTATCACGTTATCCCGTTTCTGCAACTCATTAAGCAAGAGCTGCTGGTTTAGACTCAAATGCTCCTGAGCCTGTTCCTTCTCCTCATACATCACCCTAGCTCTTTCCATGAAATGCTGCATTTGCGCCATGCATGTTCCAAAATCTACAGGCTTCTGATCCCATGTGTCACTGATCCTTAACCTCTTGTTGCTATTGTTAAGTGAATGATGTGGGATATCATTGTCATGCTCCATCACCCTTTTTCCTGTGTTATTATTATTAAAAAATGGTGCAGTAGAACCCATTTGCCGCATATCAACCCGAAGATCCACCATAGCATGGTCATGAATCTGCCCCTGTGAACCAAAACCCATTAGGTTTGCCTCCATTGTTTGAAGTAAATTACCTGTGAGGCCATCCCCTTCAAGAGCATTGACATTTGATAAAATATTAAGCCCATCCTCAGCTTCCTCCTCTACTTCCTCTCCCTCTCCCTCGTCCTCGTCCTCGTCCTCTTCCATATCTCCCTCATCCTCCTTCCTATCCTCAAGGCTGCCAAACCCCCTATCTTCTTCCATACTACAACGCTCCATGAAATGCCTTCCCATGTTGTTCTTCCCATCCAAATCCCACCGTCCTTGCTCCTCTCGATCCTCCAACTCAGCATCCTCCTTGCACTTGTCCACGTCTATCATCTCCGCATTCTTCACCTCTTCTTCCTCCTCCACAACATCTTGTCCAAGTGTTAGCTCAAAGTTCAGCCCATCCATCACATTACCCTCTACTTCCGGCACTTCACCTACAACACCAAACCTTACATCCTCCTCATTAACCCCATCCTCCTCCTCCTCCTCCTCTGCTTTCACATCCGCCTCATGAACCCAATCATCCTCCTCCTCCCCTGCTTTCACATCCTCTTCATGAACCCCATCCTCCGCCTCCTCTGCTTTCACATCCTCCTCATTAACCCCATCATCCTCCTCCTCCTCCTCTGCTTTCACATTCTCCTCATCAACCTCCTCCTCCTCCTCCTTTGCCTTCACATCCTCCTCATTAACCCCATCCTCCTCCTCCCTTGCTTTCATATTCTCCTCATTAACCCCATCCTCCTGTTGCTTTGCCTTCACATCCTCCTCATTAACCCCATCCTCCTCTAATCCCACCGTCCTTGCTCCTCTCGCTCCTCCAACTCAGCATCCTCCTTGCACTTGTCCACGTCTATCATCTCCGCATCCTTCACCTCTTCTTCCTCCTCCACATCTTGTCCAAGTGTTAGCTCAAAGTTCAGCCCATCCATCACATTACCCTCTACTTCCGGCACTTCACCTACAACACCAAACCTCACATCCTCCTCATTAACCCCATCCTCCTCCTCCTCCTCCTCCTCTGCTTTCACATCCTCCTCATGAACCCAATCATCATCCTCCTCCTCTGCTTTCACATCCTCTTCATGAACCCCATCCTCCGCCTCCTCTGCTTTCACATCCTCCTCATTAACCCCATCCTCCTCCTCCTCCTCCTCTGCTTTCACATTCTCCTCATTAACCTCCTCCTCCTCCTTTGCCTTCACATCCTCCTCATTAACCCCATCCTCCTCCTCCCTTGCTTTCACATTCTCCTCATTAACCCCATCCTCCTTTTCCTTTGCCTTCACATCCTCCTCATTAACCCCATCCTCCTCCTTTGCCTTCACATCCTCTTCATTAACCCCATCCTCCTCCTTTGCCTTCACCTCCTCCTCATTTACCCCATCCTCATCCTTTACCTCCTCATTCAACTCCACCTTTTCCGTTGCTGTCTCTTCCTCCCTCAACAATAACACCTCTTCGCGCTGCGACTTAATTAAGTACTGAAAATGTGATGCATAGTAGCAATCCCCCAAGCGCTCCCCTTTAGTCAACTCCTTCTCCATCATTAACCAGAATAATGTGGCCCAATCCACCTTCTCAGGGTGCCCCTTCCTTATCATCCCCAACCAATTCACCACCTCAACTGGTGTTATCCATAGGTCCTCATGCAAAAGCACACATTTGGACACAAAATCCTCAATAAACCCTTTTGAATCTTCGGATACAAGCTCGGAATCCACGTCCACACTTTCTACTCCACCCACATTCCCCTTTTCCTTCTTCAACGGCAACTTAAATGCACGTGCCATGTCAGCCCTATTGACCGCAATACGGAACTCATTAACATAGCTACACCTCAGTTTTGGATCATAAGTAGCAACCAACTGTGCAACCAAGTCTACCCTTACATCCCTATCAAATTCTAGATGAAAAAAATCCCACAAACCAAGTCTCTTCAAAAGTTTCTCATGCTTAGAGAAATTAAGCATATTAGGTGGTATAGAGGGGATGGGATTCAATTTTTCCATCAAAGCTAGCAACTTTTTTTCAATCGCTTGTTGTTTCTTAACATTGGACTTACCCTTCTTCCTCTTGTTGACTCCCCTACGATTTTGAGGGTTGTGGGATGGAGTCGTCACAGTTCTCTCAGAAACAGCCACGTGGGGGTCTGTTATTGGTAAGACAACGTGCAACTCGGCGAATTCTTGTACCTTTGGGGCTTCAGGGTTTTCTTGATCTTCAGCCTGAGCTTCTTCTGGGGCCAAGCCCTGGTCGGGTTGGTTCTCAATTTCATGGATCTGGGTCTGGGGATCTTCCTCCATGATTAAGGGTTCTTGGGCCTCTTCCAGGTGCTGCTGCTGCTGCAAATCTTCTTCTGGTGGTGGCTGCGGGCATAGAGAAGGGCTTGACATGTTCGTTATTATGTCTGGGTTTCGAAATTTTGGGTCTCCTCTCCCTCTCTCTGATTGTGTTACAGCAGATAAAAATTCTTTTCAGTCTCAAATTCAAGAAGCACTATATATGGAGAAAAATTACCTTGGAGGACAAAGGTGGAGATAAGAATAAAGAATCTTACTTTAACCAAACATGATTAACTTAAAAATAAGCTACTATTTTTAAACCAAAAGCAGCAAAAAATATTGCAACCCCCAACCCACCAAAAAGAGAAAAAAAGAAAAAGCCGACTTATTCTTAGAGTTGACAAAAATAAAAGAAAATCATCCTATCCTTTTTTTTTTTTTTTTTCCAATTCTTCTTTCTCAAGACACCTTAATCATTTTATGACATGGAATGGTGCATATGGCAGTCGAGATCGGTTTTCCAAAGTATATAGAGGGCTATGTGACCACATCTATACATAATGGGCGGATAGTGCCTGATAGATTAAGGTGGATATTATTTTTTATTGAAAAAAATATTATATACACTATCTCTTTTAAGCTAACTTAATAACATAATATGGAGTGATGAGGTGGAATTATGCCCGTTAAATAAGATGGTGAAAATAGCATTCTTTTAAATTAATAACCCTAGTATTATTTATCTACTATTATATCTTCTAATTTTATGTATATAATTTCTTGAACACTTCAATATTGTGTGCCAAATGTGGTCTTAAAGGTTGGGAAAATGAATGGTTGCCATTTAACTGCATGAAAGAAACAAAATGAGAGAAAAATATAATACCTATTTTGGTCCACATCAACAGAGTGACAAAGAATTAATCGTACTACAGATATCTATATTTGAGGAGGGAGTGTCAAAGAAAAAAAAAAAGAATGGAAATATGCAAGCTTATGTATGTTACACAACTTCAGGACTTCATTTGGAATGAGGTCTAGGGGATAGGGTTATACTCACTTTTAATCAGACGACATAATTCATCAACCTAAAGCTTTTTAAAATCTTTGTCAAGGTACTACTTTTTAAAGAGTACTAGTCTGGTTAACGTGCGTTGCAGTTTAGTTGTTTAATGTTGAAAATAAATATATCTGACTATCAAAAGAAAATGAGGGGCATACTATCTGACAACTAAAAGAAAATGTAAAAACTAAGTTATGAACTACTAAAGTCATGTTGAAATGTTGTGATAATTAAAAACAAAATTATGAAGCAGCTCTGAACGGAGAATTTCATCTTCCTATGCTACGCACAAAGTTCAATCATGCATGGTGCTCCAGTTATTATCGAAATTGAAATGAATAACATAGCCAAGAAACGTTACCGAAAATTATCACTAACCTTTTGTTTGATAAGAAAATATATCTACAAAATGTTTGATAATACTGCTAAATATTACTTCTTCCAAAGGATCACAAGTTTGACATTTCATGGTCATAAAAATTTTGTTCAAATAGATGTTTCACAATTTTGATATCAATCGCTATGACTATGTAAATAAATATGAAATATTACATTGATTTCAATTAAAGAAAAAAAACATGATCTTTGCGAATGAGTTTAATGAAGCACCTTCATAATTTTCATATAAAATATTCTCTTTTAATCCTATCAAGTTAGGTCACAAGGAAAATCTGTATCCAATCTTGTATTCCGTTTGTTCATCACCTCGCCCCCTCTCTGTTTATGGTGGCGTACGTCACTTCCTAACGCTCCATTTATCTATTACCTAAGTCCTAATGCAACATAACACACTGACGTTGAACGTGAGTCTGATACCTCAGGTAAGTTCCAAACTTTAATCCCAAAATATTGTATTATAAAAAAGTAATGGCATGTCTCTCTCAAATGACTTGAAGTTACAATATAGACACTTGGTTGAGAAATTATTTACTCCAAGTATTACCTAATGTCAAAGTTATATAAAATATTTTATGAATGTCATGCACCTCTCTAGAAATTCAAGACACTTTTACCAAATCACGGTGTACTAAAAATATTGTATGTCCAATTCTATTAAGATAGTCTGATGCGACAAACAGCAACCTGGATAATTTTAGAAGATTTCTTCTTGCATGAAGCGTAGACATTCTAAAGTTCATAGCTCATTCCTTTATAGCTTCTAAAGTTGTACTTTATGAGAGTTATCAGATATCATTAGAAGGATAACAAAAACATACCAAGGCTTCTTTCAATAAACTTGGAGTTGGCTACTTGAATCCTAATTAAGACAAACATCTCTCCCCATACTAAATTACTACCCTATCTTCTAAAATATATTGGTGTGCTTATCATCCTGTAAGTCTCCTTAATAGTTGTAGATTATCTGTGGTTAATAATAGTTCAAAAGTCTCACTAATATATCCTTTTGTTCCTGTAAAAAATCCCTTATAGTTTTACCTTTTCCGTGGTTAAAATAATTAATTCATAGTTCTAAATTTTCCCTGATACTTGAAGCCTATCTAATTGAAAACACAATTTCTCAGTTATCCTAGGTGGAACATATCAATCTAACTCATATTGCATCTACAACAAAAGAACATTAAATAAATAATTAAAATGACGGCAAGGGACAATAATCATATGGCATGACTGAAAACACCAAAAAACATTAAGAACAGATAGAGAAAACAAGACACCTGGGAAAACAAAGTGTTTTTAGATCTTTTCACCTCCATTGTGAGAATCTGAGAGAGGAGAATATTACTCCAAGATTACATAAACAAACTGATCATCAATTTAATAGCTAGCTATATTTTTGGTACTACTTGAATTTAAGAAAAATTGGGTGATGAATTCTGGTTTTGCTTGATTCTCTTCTTGGCCATAAGTACTTTCTTATCAAGTTCAATTGTGTCTAACTGAGAATTCCAGTAAACCTACAACCTGGTCTAAAGGCTTTTCCTATAATAGGTCATCTCCATCTCTTAAAGGAACCAGCACACACAACTCTGCACCAACTCTCCAAGAGGTACGGCCATGTCATGTTACATAAGAAGTGGTGGTTGTTTCTTATCTCAAGCAGCTGAAGAGTGCTTCACAAAGAATGATATCTATTTGCAAATTGCCCTAAACTACTTGCAGGAAAGCTGTTAAATTACAACGGGCAAGAGTTCTATCAAATCATCGATGTTGAAGCTGGGTTCAATTTCATTTGATGTGTCTCCGTGCGCAATGGAGACACAGTGCCGCGTCTCCGTGACACACGGAGACATGGCACCGTGTCTCCATTCCGTGCGCACCGGACATGGCACGAGCACGGAGACACGGTGCCGTGTCTCCGTGTGCGGAGAGGAACATCGTATCTCCGTGTGCGGAGAGGAACACGCGACAGTCTATAATGCCTAGGGAAGGCAAAAAAGCTCGGCGGCTCGGACGGCTCGGGCTCGGCTCGGAAAAAGCCCGAGCCGGGCCCGGCTCGGGCTCGATGGAACCGAGCCAAGGCTCGGGCCGAGCCTCATGTTGAGGAGTCGGCCTGAGCCGGGCC